CTCTCTACTCTTCTTAGAGTGTTTTGTGCTTACAAGTCCAAGCGTTGTGAGAGCTAGATTGATTTAGTGTCAAGAAAGAGGCTAAAACCACACAGGTGATTAGAGATAAGTTAGTCCGTGACATTATGCAACCTATTGTATATGCTCATTTACCAATGAAACATAGGTTTTTTTTCCGCTATTTCATCAAGATGAGTTGTGAAAAAAATATTCCATGAACAATATCTTTAAAAAGTCAGTATTTCTTTAACATTATTAGTCAAAAGCCATTACTCTAAGATCAATAATAGCGTTTTATGATCAATAAATATCCAACCCACCTTTATATTAATCATCCAAAACTCTTCTACAAATGTCTCTTATTAGTAAGTTTCAATTCAAATCTAATTTAATTTCTGGCTCATCTATATGCATAGTCATCATTCAACTGCCGCTCGAAAGTCAAAACTCCTCCCCTCTTGAAATCAGCACATAACCATTAGTTTTATTTATATTAAGAACAATTTAAAGTAGAGAAGCACATTCCCTACAACATAATTCGAAAATGCTCGCGAAGATAGAAGAGAAGGTTTCAAACTTATTGATCTAGTAAATAAACTAAACTAAAAGTCTTCATGTATAATCATTAAATCCAACAACAAAAATATAGAAAATAACATAGCAAATCTTCTCATAAAGCTAAAATGTATACAAGTAAAACCTTTTAAGAATATTAAATCCCCACCAAAGCAATAATGGATGTCCAAAGCCCTATACCAAGGAAAAAATTTGCGTACATAAGACGTACGCAGCGATACATGCGTCCTCCAACGGGCTATTGACAAATCAGCACAGTCGGTCCCACCGCATTCATTCAGACGCGACCCGTCGACCCGGCCCGCTCGATTATAACCGAGTTATAACTGAGAGGTACAGGATTTATAACCGAGAGGGCCATTACCGCGGTACCGCTCGGATAGTAGGCTTGTAACCTTCCAGTAACCTCAAAACGAATGAACCGTGTTTATAACCTCGCTGTAACGAAGACGTAACATAGCGTCATGTAACCGAGAAAAATAAACGAGCTATAACTGATTTGTAACCGAGAGTTCATACCGCGCGTTGTAACCTAGAGCTATAACTGAGCTGTAACCGACACAGTAACTCCGCTGCATGCTGTACCGAGGCTGTGTAACTCCCTGGTAACCTCTACACCCCGCCCTACCAACTGTACCTTCCGTGTAACGTTTCTGTAACATTTAAAGCAAAGTTTCCCGGGTTTGTAACCTCGTTGTAATCTGAGAGAACCCTTCGCAGTCACGGAGCCGTAAATTAAGTATAACCGCGTGATAATCTTCTTTAAAAATCAGAGCGCGCGAATGCTACTATTTAAGCAGTAGAAAGCTAGGGTTTACTGTTTTATTACATTTTGATGTTGAAGATGGACAGCACAAGGTGGCATTT